AAGATCATCCTCTAAAACTAAGCCTAGGAGGGTGCATAACTCTAGGGGAAAACGAAAATCGCTCACGTAACCCTGGAGTTTCTCTTAACCTGCCCAAGGCTTATCACCTTTTGACAAAAAGAAGTTGTTTTACGCGGTTTCAAGTACACTGCCACCACAATGCCCCCGTATCTTGTGAGAGCGCCCGGAGTAAATATTCGCCTAGGATTGGCGCAAGATTTAGAGGACTTTGTAAATTAAGACAGTAGGCATAGGACTTGAAGTCAGCTGGGAAGATTAGATACGTATCGAGTAAGATATCAGGAGATTAGTAGATTAGACGGTTTTATGTGAATCGATCAATACGTATCTGATTATTACGCTATATATACTGGCTTGGGCGGAAGTGGTGTAGTGGCAAGTGGCACGCTTACCACGCGAGCGGTCCGGGGATCAAATCCTGGGTCGTGAGTCGCCGGGCCAACCAAGCCTTCCATCCCTCCGGGGTCGGTTAATTGGTACCAGACTTGTCTGGGAGGAGGATAAAAACACTGACTTGAACATCGGCTGGCCCCCGCAAGTCATTGTATAGGCCACATCGCATTCAAACGCCACTACGAATGTACAAATGGAAGTAGAATGCGTGCCGCATCCCAAAAAGGGATTGATCAACGGCAATCCTTTATCCTTTCATTCTGCTATCCTAATTTGGTTATCTACTCTCCAGCGATTTCACCGATACTATCCAATAATCTCAGCGGAAGATCCTACTCTACTAATATCCAAATTTCTTACTATCCTAATCTCCAATTCAACTAACACATCTCTTTACTGCTCGCCTGCCTGATGGCAAAATTTTCGAGTCTTGCAAACTATGACACGGTGTTATAAGTGAGCGAAATCACGCGCATTTGCTCACATTTACTCACTTTATGAGGCCCTCGTTCGCACACTTTTGAGCCTTGACAACGGCACACCTGCAGTCTTGGTAAAAGGTCTTTTCTGCTCACAGGTAGACTGATCCACCTTGGTGCTACAATCTCGGATTTGATCGCCACTAAGATGGATCAGTTGAAAATTAATTGCAGAATAAACGCGTTGCTAATAGCGTGAACTGGCCAAGGAACAAATAGTAGTCGCGCGTTAGACTAACTCGCGAGGTCACCCTATGCGCTAAACCCTATTTATTTTTTTGATTTTTTTTTTCAGGGTTTTCTGAAAAAAAAAAATGGGCGATCCCATGTCCCGTAAAAGGAGATATCTCTCTACGCAACGCACTGAATAGTATCCCGCGACTTAGCGACTTAGGTGCTAGACAGGAGCCAGGGTTATAGTCTCGGCAAAGAACTTACAAAAAGGGACACTCCAAACAGCTTGCCGACCCTGCAGCTTTGCTGTTGTACTGCCCCGGTCGCGTTGCTCTGCTTGGTCCCTAAATCTTCTTCTCTTTCCTCGCACAGACTATATGGCTCTTGTACTGCTCTGCTTTTCGAGCCTCCCAGACTTGCACAGCACAGGCATACACTCCGTTTCATGCAGCCAGAAATCCACGTGGCACACGTGGCTAAATTCTCGATGAAAAGGTGACGTCACGTGTGCTCAAAGATGTTCTTGATTCGATGCCACGTCAATGCCACGTCAATTTCTGCAATTGCACAATTTTCTGGTTATTTGAAGGCGAGGGTAGTTACAGTCGGTATCTCGAACTCTGATTGGGCGTGTCACCGGAAATGACGTGGCAGCCATCGCACTTGCTAGATGCCACGTGGATAAGATACTCCGCCAGATATCAGCGAAGCATGCTGGAAGCAGCTTATCCGCGCAATTTCTATCAAGTGCGGTGGCTGCCACGTCATTTCCGGTGACACGCCCAATCAGACTTCGAGATTTGGAGTGTATATAAACGAGGCCTTTATTTCAGTTGTTTCCGCGACTTCCTTTGCTTTTTTAAATTCATTAATGAGTCAACGAGCACTCCTCATTTGAGCTCCATTACTGCGTCTTTGCCATTGCAAAAGTGCCTCAAAGGAAGTGAACACGGTAAATTCTATGGGGACGATAAAGAAAGTTACGTAGTGGATTGGGTAAAAGTCCTATAAAATGAAGACAACAGGTGGTGCTTTAGGGCAGTGGTGCCTTATCAATGGTGTAATAAGGCGCGACTTCCCATTCCGGTAAGCAGCATCCCCTACGTATCAGATGTGGATGAGGTTGTAAAGGCAGCGGACTTAATATGATACCGTTATCGATATCGTCCACTTTTCATTCCGGACGTAATCTTCTGCAAGCAGCTGAGGCGGCTTAGGCGATTTTGCCATCCTTTAAGATACATAAGGCTGAAGGACGTAACCCCCCTTCAAAAAGCGAGAAAGTGTCGGGTGCAGACAAACACCACAACTGACGACGGCCTCCAAGTAAATCTGGTTAGAAGTTGTTCATAGTGATAGCTGATTTCTGGTAATGATAGTTGTAATTAGTGACAATCGATAGAATACAACTGCAACAGGCTAATCATTTCATTGGCAGAAAACATTAACATTTTGTGAAGGCCGTCGTCACTTGTGGTGCATGGTCTGCACCCGACACTTTCTCGCTTTTTGAAGGGGAGGGTAGATTGTGAACCATTTCTAGCTCAGAAAGAAGAGGGATTTCGCTATTCTCGTATCGTGGAATTTGTCTTTCAAGGAAACTGAGCGAGAATTCGGAGATCATCAACCGATCTTGTCTTAGCAAAGTCTATTATATGAACGTTCAGCAAAAAAAGACTGAAAGCTGACATGCAGGTGGTTTCACAATACAGTACAGGAGGATTGTAGGGCGAAAATTAGAGACCTTCTTCAAAAGCTGATCCAGGCTTATAAGATGCAAATAAATTAAAAAAGGGTAAATGCATTCTGGTCTTTAGAAGTATTGCATTTTAGAAGCGCATGCATCAACTAGCTAGAGAAGAGCTTCAACCAAAAAAAAACCATCAGAGAGATAGCCAAATCCGCGGAAAGTCTAATGGGCGCAGCAAATGGAGTACTGTTTGCCAAAGAGCAAGGCTCGCCTTGGCACCTCAAGCAACTACGCGCCACTGAGTATTTGCCAAGCGCTGACTCTCCGCACAAGGTCTTAAGCAAACGACTGGATGTTGATTTGACATTCCTGGAACTCAAGGAATTATCCAACTTCGGCTTAGAGGTACATGACAAGATAAGTCAAAACTACCAAAAGTCCCTGAGCAGAAGAAAAACAATCCAACAAAATAAATTTCTCTGAAGTCAACCAATTTACCAGTATACAAGGTGAAAAGATTTTCATGCATTAATGGCACTGAGGAACTATGCCCCTTCAGGAATATCAAACCGGTCAAACTCCAGTTTAAAGGCACAACCCAGGCAGAGGTCGTGTGAACTCTTCTCTTCGGTCAGAAGTATAGAACCCTAGGGGACAATCACAAATGTGGCGTTCACGTGCACGGAATTCGACCGACAAGAACGCTTTGGGCTTGCAAAGTAAGCTGCTCGAGCTGCAGCGAACGAGCTCTCTTATCAGGCCGTTGTCTGGTGCTCTCTCATCTGATGCGCTCTCTCGCCCCATACTCTCCTCTTCGCGCTTAGTCTCTCGTTCCTTTAGCACAGCCAATTAGGAAGGTGAGTGAGCCCTCAACCTGAGCGTTTTCGACGGATTCTTTTCCTTTTTTCTTCACTGCCGGCCCACTTGGCACCGATACATTCACATTCGTGTGCAAGAGCCACACCAGTGCGATCCTGGGGCATGCCTTTAAGATTAACTGCTATCTCAAATTCATTGAGGGAGCTTGACGAACCTGAACTATTCTACGTAGAACGGTTTGTCTTAATGCAGCCCATGGGCCTTAAGAAATGAACATGTATATTACAACATTGAATATTTAATTATTTACATCAACGGAATAAGAGCGAAGGAAAAGAGAAAAGATCCTGAAAAAAGGCAACATGAGAAGAATAGAGCACGGTAAGATTGTTAGTGATCAGAAAAAATGAACGAATTTACGTGATAAAGCCTTAACCTGAGAAAGGGCAGACGATCCCCGGAGGAATACGTGGTCAAACGTTTTAATTATGAATTCCTAATTGGAAAGTAACAAAATTCAAAAAAAAAGAAAAAAAAAAGAACAGACGGCACTGTTTGGTAAGCTGGGCAAAAGTAGCGCAACTTTGTGAAAATACGCAATACATTCCCTTTGGATCCCGCATGAGCGGTCTTCTAATCAAGACAGACACCAACCTAGGCAATTAAAAGCGATAGATGATCACGAACTTCTTGTGTATGGCTGTAAAGCTATTCAATACCTCCGAGTACGACGAAGGAGTAAGAAAGCATGGCGCAACCCAGTCGATCACGCACCGGCCACCTCACTTCTTGTTATCTCTTGTATTTGTTCATGAGCGCCTGTCTACTTTGCTTGGTGCTTTTAATGTGAAAGTGTGTTTACAAAGCAATCCTCTCGAGTGAATTTTGCGGTGTGGCCGCAAAAGGTAGAAACTGAGCAAGCGGTGGCGCAATTCGTCAATGTGATGGCGTATACATGAGGTGGCTCAAGGCACAAGGAAGCAGAACACTTGTCGACAGTCCATTTTCACACTGCCTCACAATTCCAGGCTATAAGAACAGTAATCCTGCGGTATAGACAGTAGATATGCAAGACATAATACTATTGGCAAATGTACTTTCACTATAATGATGTTCTATTTATTCAACCAATTTTGAAAAATTCGATCACACTAGTATGACTTGGAAAGCGCCACATATGTACAAATGGTTATCTCTGTATTATGATGAGAAAATAGTACAAGTACTGTAAGAAATCATAAAAACTATGCAGAATATCACAATTTAATGAAACGAAAAGCTGAAAGCCGAAATAACCTGCGTAAGCACACGGGCTTTATCTGTACTAGAAAGCACATTTACAACTATAACTCATAAAATAAAGAAGCCAACGTGAATATCATTCAATAGTGTTCAATTTCTCAACCACCTCAGAAGGTCACGTTTCAGTTGTTGTTATGATCATCTGATCCCGTACCATATCGGTATTGCAATTCTTCCAAATACTGTTGTTTACTCAATGAAAGAGCACAAGCCAGTGCTTCATCTTCTTCTTCTGCCGTTGCAGGACAGGGACCATATTCTGCACAATATATAAAATTGATCGCGCGTTTTCTTTGGCGAGACATGCCGTACTTAACTGCATGCTCAGTAGCACACTTGGCATCAGGTAACATCAATCATAAAGCGCACGTAATTTCAACTGATTGAAGATCATCGCCATATGTGCTACTGAGAACGCAGTCGCGAAAAAAAAACAGAGTACGACTAACATAATCTTGACTTGGAGAAACAATATACCTTCCAATGCCAGCAGTTCCTCATAAAGGGTAGATTTTGGCTGACGTCGTTCCGTGCCTCCTTGCACTTCTGAGCTTCCCTTGGTATTGTCGCAAATGTTCTCTCCTTAAAATGAATTCATTGAAAACAACAAGCACGATGGCAAAACATTCTTATATCTAAACTTACTAGTATTAGGTCCAGGAGCAGGATTACCAGAATCCATCAGCATTCGTAAGTATTCCATGTATGAGTCGCGTGCGATCTTAAAGTT